AAGCATACATGTACACAAACAGAGGTTATGGATACCTGGCTAGTGCTGTGTGACTAATAACAAACGCCTTGACCAAGGCAATGTTTTTATACTGGGCATACCTGCTAACACTGCAAGTACAGCCGATGTCACACCATGATTGCTGCTACTTATTGACGCTGTCTTACTGCTGACCCGGGAAAAAAGTTGCTGGTACAAGCATGCAGCAGCAACTGCCACATTTCAGCCACAGTAGAATTGCAAAGAAGTTTGAGATTTTAAGAACTTAAAGAACGCTAAACACGAAACAAAAATGCAAAACAACAGACTTGACCTTCGGAAGTTGTAATTAAAAGCTTTAAGTTCTATGCCACTTCTCCACCAAGATAAGCACAGCTTTAAGGAGCATGATGCAAAAATTAACACATTTTAAACATTGAGAAAGCAGTGTTGGAAGACGTAAAGACATAAACAAAAAGACAAGATTTTTGTTCTCTTTTTTAATGGTTCCATTTCTCTCAGGTATTAGAAAAGTGCATTGGGTGTTGACATAAAATCTACTTTTCTGCTTGTCTTCCCAATTTCTGCCACCTGGAAAGCATTTATATTTGCTGGCAGATGAAAAGCCGTTATCTGGTCCCCTCAGGAGATATTTTGCCAGTAGTTTATTTTTGGAATTGAAAGTGCTTACGATTTTAAAACAGTATGCGCAAGTTCCTGTTACGGCTGATAAATGAACGATCGTTTTTAGAAAACAATACCATTGGCTTGGGTATGCCACTGGATGAGAACATGTTTGACATTTCCATTCTGTTTTAGTTTCTGCTGACAAAAAGAAGTGTTTGCCCAGGTTTCTCAAGTAAAACCTACCAAGCTGTAATAGGGACATGGCGAAAACAATTCCCCTTCCAGTTAAAAAAAAAAAGGCAGGTACGAGCATAAGATATAAGGGATTGTTAATATTATACTTATGGTCATTTTACGACAAGTGCTGTTGAAAAGTTCAAACGATTTTTCGGAAAAATTAAAAGTACCACCAGGACTACCTGAGGATGGGTGGAAATTTCTTGGCAAGTAGGGAATGATTTCTGATAACTCGGCACAGCTTCCATCCCAGCTAGGTGAGATCGCGACACCTGCAAAATCGCACGAAGTTGGTGGTGCAGGCTAAGGCTGCGCATGTTACAGTTAGTGACTTGAAAAGTGGGTGGGGGGGGGGAAATATATCCCCCATCCCCCAGCATCTCCGCCCATGACTATCAGCATGTATTTTTGAAGATATTGGACAAAATAGGGGCCCGCATCCAAATTGCTTTATTTTTTAAGTGAAGTGTGTGGGATTCAATAATTGCAACAATTGCGATGGGCTACATGCAGTCCGAAAGAAATGTCTTCAAAAGTCATGGGTTAAGCCAGTAAAAATTGAAAGTAATATGAAGTCCAAGGAATTAAGCCTTATTTTGATCGTGAACATGGGAGAAACCTGTACTTTTCCTGAATTTTATTTTTTTTTTTAAAGTTGGGTTACTGTCACTGTTGTCTTTCCCAGCTTAATAGTTCATGTTCCGCAAGTCCCGCAAGCAAGGATGTGCATAGGCTGAAGTATTTGTTTTCTCAGGAAATAAATCAGTCCCAAGTCGCTTTATCTTTCCCAAAAAATATAGTCTTGGCCTTGGTGTACTTAATTTTTTATGGGAAATACAATACAGGGACATCAAGTGTAGAAGAAAACTTTTCACATTACAAAATGTATCGTCTACCTGCCCATACCCCAAATGAAAACAGTAAAGAACCAAACTTGGAGGACTGACTGAGAACTTAANAAACGTACATGTACACAAACGGAGGTTATGGATAGCTGGCTAGTGCTGTGTGACTAATAACAAACGCCTTGACCAAGGCAATGTTTTTATACTGGGCATACCTGCTAACACTGCAAGTACAGCGGATGTCACACCATGATTGCTGCTACTTATTGACGCTGTCTTACTGCTGACCTGGGAAAAAAGTTGCTGGTACAAGCATGCAGCAGCAGCTGCCACATTTCAGCCACAGTAGAATTGCAAAGAAGTTTCAGATTTTAAGAACTTAAAGAATGCTAAAAACGAAACAAAAATGCAAAACAACAGACTTGACCTTCGGAAGTTGTAATTAAAAGCTTTAAGTTCTATGCCACTTCTCCACCAAGATAAGCACAGCTTTAAGGAGCATGATGCAAAAATTAACACATTTTAAACATTGAGAAAGCAGTGTTGGAAGATGTAAAGTGGACTTCAAAGTATCTTTCGTTAAAAAAAAGATTTTTGTTCTCTTTTTTAATGGTTCCATTTCTCTCAGGTATTAGAAAAGTGCATTGGGTGTTGAGATAAAATCTACTTTTCTGCTTGTCTTTCCAATTTCTGCCACCTGGAAAGCATTTCTATTTGCTGGCAGATGAAAAGCCGTTATATGGTCCCCTCAGGAGATATTTTGCCAGTAGTTTATTTTTGGCATTGAAAGTGCTTACGATTTTAAAACAGTATGCGCAAGTTCCTGTTACGGCTGATAAATGAACGATCGTTTTTAGAAAACAATACCATTCCCCCCCCCCCAAATGGCTTGGGTATGCCACTGGATGAGATCATGTTTGACATTTCCATTCCGTTTTAGTTTCTGCTGCCAGAAAGAAGCATTCGCACAGGTTTCTCAAGTAAAACCTACCAAGCTGTAATAGGGACATGTCGAAAACAATTCCCCTTCCAGTTAAAAAAAAAGGCAGGTACGAGCATAAGATACAAGGTATTGTTAATTTCATACTTATGGTCATTTTACGACAAGTGCTGTTGAAAAGTTCAAACGATTTTTCGGAAAAATTGAAAGTACCACCAGGACTACCTGAGCATGGGTGGAAATTTCTTGACAAGTAGGGAATGATTTCTGAAAACTCGGCACAGCTTCCATCCCAGCTAGGTGAGATCGCGACACCTGCAAAATCGCACGTAGTTGGTGGTGCAGGCTAAGGGTGCCCATATTATAGTTAGTGACTTGAAAAGTGGGCGGGGGGAGAAGATTATATCGGTAATCTCCCACCCTCCACCCCCATTTTTGGTGGGGGGGGGGAGAATATATCCCCCATCCCCCAGCATCTCCGCCCATGACTATCAGCATGTATTTTTGAAGATATTGGACAAAATAGGGGCTCGCATCGAAACTGCTTTATTTTTAAGCGAAGTGTGTAGGATTCAATAATTGCAACAATTGCGATGGGCTACATGCAGTCCGAAAGAAATGTCTTCAAAAGTCATGGGTTAAGCCAGTAAAAATTGAAAGTAATATGAAGTCCAAGGAATTAAGCCTTATTTTGATGTGCATCGTGAACATCTGAGATACCTGTTTTTTTTCCTGAATTTTATTTTTTTTTTTAAAGTTGGGTTACTGTCTCTGTTGTTATATATAACGGGTTTGCCCTTACCCAACGTATATTAATGCTCAGTGCTTATTAAAAAAAATACATCTTGAAAAACAGTTCGCGGTACCCGCTGCTTCATTTGACTCGGACCGGCCAGCCGACCCCGGCAAGCTCTCTGGTCGAGTGGTTAAGACATCTGCACTAGTAAGCAGGAGGTCGTGGGTTCGAGTCTCACCCGAGTAGGCTTGTGAGGTTTTTTTCACAAGCTCTCGGACAAGCACTGAGCATGCAGTGCTTATTAATATACGTTGGGTAAGGGCAAACCTGTTATATATAATTAACATCTCCCCAACGCAAAAAAAAATTACATCTTGAAAAATGTCTCTGTTGTCTTTCCCAGCTTAATAGTTCATGTTCCGCAAGTCCCACAAGCGACGATGTGCATATGCTGAAGTATTTGTTTTCTCAGGAAATAAATCAGTCCCAAGTCACTTTATCTTTCCCCCAAAATATAGTCTTGGCCTTGGTGTACTTGTTTTTTATGGGAAATACAATACAGGGACAGCAAGTGTAAAAGAAAACTTTTCACATTACAAAATGTATCCTCTACCTGCCCATACCCCAAATGAAAACAGTAAAGAACCAAACTTGGAGGACTGACTGAGAACTTAAGAGCTGTTTTACTTTAAAAGCAATCTGAAAAATAATAAATCCATGTCCTTCATTCCAGTGCTGAAATTAGAGCATAATGAACAAAATAATCTAAACAAGGTTGCTGTTGTTTCTGAAAAGTGTGATAACAAATTGTAAAATTTGCAAAATATTTGCTCTACTTAATACGCAGTCACACACAGTTCAGTATCTCACAATTCAATGTTTGAAATCCAGGGGTCCACAGAGCGGTGATGAGAGTTTCACCATATCACCAAATATGGTCATATCTTGGAAAAGTTTCCATGTGGTCCTTACCAAGGTATACATCACAAGCCTGTAGACTCCTAATGGCTGGACCCCAACCACTGCAGAGTAAGGAGTCTTGAAAGATCAGTCACCCCAAGGAGCTCAAACTAGATCTCACAGCAGCATAATGAAATGTAGATAGAGAGGGCATCTGGGAGATACATTAACTACCATAAAAACAGTCGCACAGGTTCAGGCATGACCAGAAACTGACCCGGTGACAAAAGTCTCCGCATTGAGGAAAAAGTCTGACTTTGTGAGCGTGGCTGCTCCTTAATCACTGATATAATCCAATGAATGAGTAATCAGGCCTCCATAATGCATTTGCAGCATGATAATGTGATGTGGGGGCTTCTCTTTTGAAGGAATTGTGCTGAGGGAATCTAGCAGAATTATTTCTAGGGATTTGGGGGCCTGTTTTGGTTGCAAGCAGCTTTCAATTTTGGTTCGTGGCTTGATGTGGTTTATAACTTTGTTGATTGTGTACCACCCAGTGATGTGTTTTCTGTTACACACTTTGAGATGGAAAGGCAGAAAGTTTTAGTTTGGGGAGAGCTCCTCGCTTCACGCTATTTGTGCTGGCTCTTTGTTTAGCATAGCCATGCTCTGTTTGCCTGGATGATTTTGGGGGCCGACCTGTGATCAAAGCTCGGCGTCCTCCCAGGGGAGTCTTACGTCTTGTCACAGTGGTTGGCTGCATCCCGACTCTCGATGATATTGGAAGGCGTTTTTTGGCCCTAATCTTTATTTGTCTAGCAGCAGAGAAAGTGCTATACTTGGCAAATGTGAGCAAAGCAGAGATAAGCGCACTGTCTGAAGCAATCTTTTCGAACCTTGACACAAAGCTCTTGATTGGGAACCTGAACATATCCGGATCATCATTCATCTTTTGACTTAGAGTGTCAAACATGTTCCGCAGCTTCCCTAGAACATCTTGGTCTTCAGTGGGCCTGCTGCTTGTGCCACAATTCTGGAATCCATTTTCTGCGGCGCGTTGGAGATGGAAAAAATCAAACCTGATCTGAGGATTCTGCAGGACAGACACATCAGCGGTGGGAGGTGGAGTTGTGGCATCTACAGGAGGCGGCGAGTCACTCTCATGGCAAGGATTCATGAACCATTCCTCCTTAATGTAATCTCTTCCTATTTCGCCAAAAGTGAAAGTGTAACAAATCAGTTTTCCGCACAATGAAAGCCTCGAAGTGTAAAAAGACATGAAACAGCAGTGGTTTTTCAGCACATCCAGGCTGCATCATTTTCTGCCCCTCCCGGGCCAGTAAAACGATGAAGATGTGGGAACAGCGTTCCTAGGTCACTCAAATGATGGGCATGTGGAAAACTGTCGTTTGCTTTTTAAATACTTCAAATGGAAGGGAAGACTAAATGCAAGGAAATAAATTACCTGTGGCAATTGTATAGTACAACTCCCTTAGATGTGGTGATGTGGTGGGCATGAAGTTGCAGTCAACGACATTGAATGTCTTCATCACTGCATGTTGATGTTGGCACGGTCCACCAGTCTTTCCCACAGGGCAGGTGCAGGTACCAATACTTATGTCCACGTGGTACAGCTCTCCGGATTTAGTGCTGGGCACGGAGTAGCTTGTCTCATCTTCCTGAAATATGAAGACAGAGATACTCAACAATTCTTCCAAAATATCTGGCATGTCACTGTTTTCAAGTGTCTGGTCCAAAAATTGATGATCCTTTGCCGTCAGATTTCAAAAAGGGAATAAGAATGTGGGTGTAAGTATGTTCAGTACATGTAAACGTACTGCTATCTTGTCTAGGAGCATATGATACCTGAAGCTGAGGTGTATCATTATCTAAGCAAGCAACAATGTTGCAGCCCATTAAGACCTTTTCAAAGACTTTCAATATCTCGTGTTTTTATGTGCACAATGTGCCCAGATGAAGTCACCTCTTGTGATGCTAGAAGTTAAGTCATGCTGGCAAACCTGAACAATATTGCGGCAATTGATGTCATCGTCACTCAGGAAGTATCTTGATTGCTGTATGTTAGCTGTGCAGTTGTTGACAACATCCAACAGGCGGCGAGTGTAGTAGGATTCCATTCTTGTAAGAAGAAAGTCTACTGACTGAGTTACATTGTATGCCTTGAAGTGGTAGAGGACCTTGTCCTTCATGATCCTCATGGCGCTCTCTACACAGTCTGCTGCGTTGTTGCCACTCGCGAAGAGGTTGCTCCAGAAGCAGACAGCCCATGCCTCCCTGGTCTCGAACACACTGGCCAGGTGCTTTGTATATTTGCGGTATTTCTTGACGATTGGGTCATCCACAATTGCCTGGTAGAGATTATTCAGTCGATCAGATGACTCGGCATACACAAGACTCTTGAAGACGCCAAGTAGATGAGGCCTGTCTTGTTTGCTGATGCCATTGCGGCCATCCCATAGCCAGCGCCACATGGCTCGTAGAATGTGAAAGACGCCCAGTATCAAGCTGGTCTGTGGGTACACTGAATGTATTGCCTGGCAAAGTGCCAGGCAGTCATCTGTTACTGCCACTAGTGGCCCGTGTGCTTCTCTTCCAAAGAAGGCACTGTCTGGAAGTATGGACTTCAACAGTTCAATCCCAGCGGTTATCGTTGGTTGGCTCTCTGACGAAGTGAGAAGCACACCCAACGGTAGCCCTCCAGCAGAAGAGTGAGTCAGTAAGACGAAAATTCGGCTGTTGTGACGATGACACTTCCCTGAAGATTCAAAGAATATCATCTCTCCACTCTGTTCCACCATCGTGTGGACCCTTTTCATCAGAGGCGTGCATATGGCAACAACAGTTTGACTGTCCTCTGTGTGCTTGATTTTTGCACAGGTTTCTTGTTGTTCCTCATTGTATGTATGGAGCCTTTCTTCAAGGTCCACAAACATCTCTTCTCCAGAAGGTGCTTCATATGCCTTCTTAAAAATCTTGAAGTACAATCTGTCAGTAAAGAAATGGTTCCAAAAATGATTACTTGCAGCTCAAATACAAATAACGTATAAATATTTGTTTTGCAATCAGTATTTTCTTCAGGAAAAAAAGTAATGAAGAAAAGACCTATTAAAGCCATTACTGCAGTCTGCTTCCAAACTCCAACTGTGACAGTACAGTAATATTTGAGCATAATTTCTGCGCCAAGGGTAAAGGTAAATTAAGTGAGCAACCAGCTTATCACTGAAAATTGTGTAGTATTTCAGAACGAATGCTGAATCATGCCACCAGTTTTTTCTTCATAGACTGAATAAAGGTTAATCATAACAGAAATGTTGAAAATACATCAATCTGGCACGAAAAAATTCCAGTTATGCTGGGAAGTATTTTGAAAATTGTCTTGATTCCCCACAGTCTCTGTATAAGTGGTGGCAGGGTACAGTATTCTTTGCCAGTATTTTTGCGAAGTCATATTAAAAAAAAAAAAATTGGGGAAATTTATACGAGTAGTTGGTTTTCAATCCCTATCCCATATACACGCATGCGGTTATTGGTTGAGGAATGCCCATGATTAAGCCCGCCCATGATTAAGTGTTCCTCCTCCCTCCCCTTCCCTTGCCCCCTTCCCCCTGGATATGCCACTGCTGGACTACCTACCTGTAGCAGAACTGAAGATCTGGACACACAGAGCGGTCTACCGTAGCATAGACATATTGCTCTCCATGGTCTTCTTGAAGATCATGCTTCAGAGTGTCCAGAGCTGATGAGGGGGAATGTCCATGCTCGAACAGGTCCTTCAATTTACCTACACAATCCTCTGACACATCTCTCCTCCGAAATGCATCAGCACATGCGATATGATGGTTGTGATCGTTCCTCAGCCTTACACTGAAGAGAAGACCATTGTGGATGTGTAGGTCTTGGGACCTTGTGCAAAGAAATGAACACGGGACAATTACACTGTACTCAGCTCTTTTTTATCCGCACCGAGTGGAACAAGAGAGGGCGTGTTTTTTGGTACTCGCCGCATAGGCGCGCCATGAGGCGCGCAAGTATATGCACGTTTGATGCGGAACACGCTGAGTACGCTTAGCTAATTTATTGCAGCATGTATGGTCTTTGCGTACACGCAGAACGCGCGCAAGAACCCGCTTGTAACCACCTGTCTTTCTTTCGCTGGGTTTTGGTGCACTTCAGCTCGACGCAGATGTTTGACAATTATAGATTAAATGGGGACAGTTGTAAACAAGCTCCAAGTTGAAGTTTCTTTTTGAGTGAGTGACCAGTCCAACAACTAGTTCATTTTTTAATCACATTCTTGAAAATGCATGAAAACTAGTCAGTAAGCCAATGAAGTCACAATTTCATACAATTCTCCATATTTCAATTCAAAACCAGACTTTCTATCAAAATCATATTAAAATTGGGGGAGTCAGGACTGTTAGGTTTAAAGGGTAACAGAAATTGAAAACATTTAGTTTACGTGAAGGATTTCAAAATAACAATAAATACATATCTATTTAACGCATCACAAATTTAATGTTCACCCAATTGATTGTAACCCCAAAATGAATTTAAAAATCCTGCATTTCCACGCCCACAAAAATCCCCTTTTGACCATTCGCGCTCACGGGCTGATTGCAGGATGTCATCGCCAGAACGCTGACAAGTACTGTGTACACATACACAGCGGACAGTACATGCAGTACTGCACTTGTGTGGTTTGCCCAGGAATGTGATCTCAGCTATATGTTGCCTGTCTTTCAGGTTTTGTTTCGAACCACCAAATAGAGCATAATTAGCTTCCTGTCATGAAGTGTTCACCCTGCTGACTGCACACGCCATGAATGAATGGACAGCTGATCCTTGGTCACTATTCATTGTTGACCAAATAGAAATTGTTACAATTGTTTCCCATCTTACAATTGTTTCCCATCTTGTTGACATTCAGCTTTTCCAACTAGATGGGCAGTCTTGAGATACCGGTGCTTACTTGGAATTTGTGACCCTTCTCTTCAAGACAAGAGTCATAGTAGCCGGACAATCGGTATTCTTGGTCATCTTGCCCGGGATAGCAGACTTGTATCTTGTGTTGTGTTGACATCTCAAATCCACCTGCAGAATCCACATAAAAAGCCCATGAAAACATACAGCAAGGATCATACTGTAGACTTTATTCACAGGGCCAGCCATATTGAGTTTGAAAGTGAGGTCAACTGTTCATTTTTGAATATTGAGAGTACAAATGAAGCAATAACATGAAATTTTTTTACCAAGGTCCACCTGTCTACTCCGATAAAATAATTTCAAATTCATGATTGAACACATAGAATTGTACCTTGCCAGATTCCAAAAATTATTGACAGGGAGGCTTGGAACGCACTGAAGTATAAAACAGTCTGGTGACATCCTAATCGACAGTTTGTAATATATACAACAGATTTGGGGGATGAGATCAAAAATGGCCTCCACATGAAAAGGGTCTACTGCTTGGAGGGAGAATTACACTGCCTTTTAAAAGTAATTAAAACACATTCTGCAGAATTTAAGCCCATCAATCAAATCCACTAACTTGTCTGGTACCGAGCAAATATTTCATGTGTAGAACCCTAAATACAAGAAACAAAGACACGCAAGAATGGCAATTAATTTTCACAAGCGCATGACAGTATTATTTCATTCCAGTGACTGATATACAAATAAATAAATCAATGATAAATAGAAATATGGTATAAACCGGTATGACGACCCACCAAAAATCACCATAGAGGTGACAAGGTAACCATAATAAGTTGTTATTATTACAAATGTCTCATGTTAATGTCTCACCCTGTACTTGTTGTAACGGCCAGCAGCAGGATAGGTCTTTGACTTCCTCCACGTTAAGCATGATGACCTTTGGAATGCAACCAGCCACTGCTGAACCTCTTCTTCTGTGGTGACCTCCAGACGTAACAGGCAATTGAACCTGGAGTCATCGTCTTGGCCTACTGCTTCATAACTGCAGATTTCATGGTGGTACTCTGCTGGCAAAAGGACCTAAGGGAATAATTATTCATTTGTTTGATGAATTTTAATCATGCATGCAGAGTACAGCAGCATATTTTGCAGGCCGGAGTCTGACAGTGACAGTATGGTGTACAATTTACAGTACCTGCAGAAAGGGAACGATGAATCTGACATTTTCTACCACTAATCATAACTCACGTCATCTGTTCTAGACAAAAGGTCCATATTCTGTGTTAATAAAATTGGATCTGGTTTTGTGTTGAACATGTTGCATGTGAAAAGTTGAAAAATATGGCTTGGTAGGATAGTACTCGGCCTACTGCTGTTACGCCCCAACTACAGCATCAGTCCCAACTATACAGGTAGTTAGTAGTTAGGACTGGCCAAACTATAGTGCTATAGTTGAGCCAGCCCAACCGTTGCACAGAAAGACAGAAGTTCAGTGTGTGCATATGCCATTGCATACGCCAAATTCATTTTGTTTACATCATCCATTTATGATTTTAGAATCAAGCTCTATGCAGATTAAGTGCCGTATGAATAATTAGGAATGAACTGCATAAATTTGGAGAGGGTTGAAAAATTTGCTACAGAGATTGGCCCCCAATAGTTGGGCCAGCCCAACTGCAGTGCTATAGTTGGGACAGACACTATAGTTGGGGCATAACCGGAGGGGGGAGGGGGAGAATGGTTAGCGCCACCAACGTTACGGTGCATCTTATTTGCTACGAGAAGATGAGCACGTACACATCCCAGGGCTGCGACAGTGTAACCCTGCTACTGATACTGCACGTATATTGCAGTTGTGCACAGCACCATTCACGGACCAGGCCCTGCAGGCCAGGGTCAGGCAGGTTACCCTGTGCATGAGAACGATCGACCACAAGGCATTCATCTGGTTCCCAGCGTTCCCTATTTGGTACTGCGTTACAGGCTGTGTAAGTGTTGCATCATCCTGTGCATCCGACTACAATGTAATGGAAAAAAATTTCTCAACATGTTCAAAAAGTTGGTCCAAAAAACGGTTATGTTGAACCAAGGAATTTCCTTCAAATTTCTGATGAAAGACCAACCCCGCTTTGGTGACATATCTAAGAAATCAAAATTGAAATGTTAAAAAAACATTTTTACAAAAACGATCATTTTGTTCCTGGATTTTAGGGGTGTCACAAAAGTGGCGACTAAACGGTAAGCACATTCATCACAGAAGCTCAAGCATATGCAGGATAGAAGGTACTGTTACGAAACCAAAACATCATTTCATTTCTGATGCCATTCTGATAGACAACTCGTGAGCGTAGTTTTACATGAAAGAAAACAAGCCATACTGCAAACACGTCACTGCACAAGTGCACTTTGTATAATGTTAAAAGGCTTTGTGGGAAGGCAAAAGGTTCAATGTTTGCTCCTTTTTCCTTCCAAAAGTGCCTTTCTACCATTGTGCAATATCACCCAATCCCCCATGCAGCATTTGTGATAAGGCACATCAATGCTTATCTAGGCCAACATGCAGATATCGTACAACACAGGAATGTACATGTATATTGTGGATGATTTTTTCCTGTTTTAATGTTATGTAGGCTACACCCCTTTTTTACAAATGGAAGTAGCTCACAGACCTCCCCCCCCCACCGGATTAACTGCAGTTTGGCCAGACCCCTATTAAAAGAAAGTTACTGACAGATTTTTATGTGCTGTGTGGAGCTGTGTATTTTTAACTTGAAATAAGTCATCTTGCTGGGCTAATTTATCTCCCCTAATTAAACGTTTCACGCAACACGGCAGAGCCAGAATTTACCTCCAATTTATAGATTTCTTGGGTTCTGTCTTCTCTGTTACCTCCTTCATCACCACAGACTCTGCAGTGTGCTAAAGTCATCTTGAGAGAACTTTCGACAGAGCGAGCGCGAGGCAAATAACTCCCCTTGGAGAGGAGAAGGCGGCTTACGTTTTTTTAAGCGACTGCCAGCTTGCGCGCGCTCGCTAGATCAACGATACGATCGTATCGCCGTACGACGCGTCGCGTCGGCGTACCATAGCACGAAGGTATGGGGCACCGCGGGACCAAAATTAATATTTTACAAAACGATTGTTCCAGACAAAAAACAAAGCAAAACAATTTAAAAACAATTAACAAACAAAAACTGCTTAAACAAAGGACATTGAGCATATAAAATGAAACAAATGAAAATCGAAGAGCAAAATATACGCAGGTGTGTAACGTTTGTACATGTACATGTATAGTACGTGTGCAGTTCATCCCTTTCACATTATGCATGCATGCACGTGCACATAGCTTTGGCGGCAAGAAGTGTGAGTGGGCATTGATAGCAAGGAACAGAGCCATTAAAAATTTACAGGGGTGCCACTCTGATAATCATTTTCTCTCAGATTTGGCTTTGTTCGTTTTTTGGGTTTTCGGGTTTTTTTTTTTCTTTTGTTTTTTAAACCCCATTAGCTCGTGTTTGCTGTTAGTTTCTTTTTAATTGGAATTTTTAGTGCTATGTGAAAATACTTTATAATTGTAATTTTCCTGTGTGCGCGGGATTGCTGCCTCTTAGTATAGCCCCTTCCATCGTAAGTATTATTAATTTTATTGTTAGTGTTCTTGGAGCCAACCTCCGAACTGGTAAAAACACGCACCGTGTGCGATCAATGTACCTGTAAGTACGTACAAAGCTTACCACTGATCATAGCTTGGAGTACTACCGAAAGAAAATTAATGGTATCCAGTTGTTGTGTTTGGGGTTGTACATGACAAAGTGCAGATTCCACAGAGAAAGGAGTCTGGTTCTTCAGATTTCCCAAGTGCAGAAAGCAGCGAATCGAATGGGTACGGTACCATTACATGCAAATGTGGCTGCGGCTGCAAACCCCGGCCCGCGAAGTAGGCTATATGCCATGTTGCAGAGTGACACGTCCTTCAAATATACTTAATACTACATTTGAGGGCCTCGAAGTGACAGGTCAACCGGTCCAGTTGAAGTTGACAACGATGACATCGAGCTCTACAGTCTCAGATTGTACGTAGTGTCCTCACGGATATCACAGAGGAATGTTACCAAGAAGACTGCATAAAGGTCACTTATCCCAACGTCAGAAACTGCCTTAACTTGAAGTGGCCTCATCTCGAATCGATTGCCCGCGAACTCCCTCCAACTCAAGACTGTGAGGTTAGGCTGATGGGGTTCAACTTTACCGAAGCTCTTACACCGAGAAAGACAGTGTTTGGTGTAGACAATCAACCGTATGCTGTAAAGACTGATATAGGATGGTCCATAATTATAGTCGCGGGAGCCGAATCGGCGCTACAGCCATTTGTCACAGAGTGATGTCTAAGGAGAACCCTGTCCCTTCCAAAATGGTCCTGTCTGTGCTTGAGAGAGACAAGGGGTAAAGTTACACAAGACGATCTCCTGTTCTTCCATCTCCTGAATTCTTCTACCATTCAGCTAGGTGACGGCCATCTGCAAATGCCCCTACTGTTCTGCCGTAGTCTGCCAGATCATAGATTTCAAGCATCCATCCGTCTGAGTCATCTTAAACGCAGGTTTTAAGGGACAAAAGGTACGTACTACAAAGACTATGTGAAATTCGTCTGTGATGTCATTTACCATGGGGATGCTGCTGAAGCCCCTTCCGATGCCAAGGACGGTGAAGTGTAGTCCTTCACCATGATGGAGCTACTACCCAAAAAAGCCCAAAAGATACGAGTCGTATATTGACTGCTCAAGCCAGTACCGCGGCACTGCCTTAAATGACCATCTTCTTGGCGGTCCCGATCTGACAAACGCACATGTGGGAATCGCTTCAGATGTCAGCCCATAGCCGTTGCCTGTGACATCGAAAAAATGTTCCATCACTTCAGGGTCAGGCCGGAAGATAGAGATTACTTGCGTTTTCTCTGGTGGAGGGATGGTGACCTCACTCGGGAGCCAACTGAGTTTAGGATGAAGGTCCATTTATTTGGAGCTACCTCGTCGCCAGGGTGCGCAAACTGTGGTCTGAAGTGTCTGTCCAAGAAATACAAGGAAGAGTTTCCATCTGCAGCCCAGTTCATAAGGCATCATTTCTACGTGGATGGTGGTCTGATAAGCACCACGACGAATGAAGACGCGATCATTCAGCTAGCTTATCCGAGATGCGAGAGAATCGTGTAACAGAGGTGGTATACGCCTACACAATTTCATCTCCGACAGCAGAGAAGTATAATTACAACTGTTCCTCCCCAGGAAAGAGCTGGGTCTGTGAAGAAAGTCGATCACAGCAAAGAGGATATTCCTCCGTCTTCCACCCTTGGAATACAGTGGGATATGTCAAGAAGGATGGATTCTTCTTCAAGATAGAGTCCAAAGAAGCAACTTTGAATCGCAGAGGAATTCTGTCTACGGTTGCATCAGTTTATGACCCACTGGGTTTTCTGGCTCCGTTTGTCCTCACAGGTAGAGTAAAGTGCTGTTGCCGCATATGTGTCGAAAGAGAGATGGATCACGGTGGGGAAAGTGGGTGGCAGACCTCCCTAACATTTGGGCAATTCGATTTCAACGATGTCTAGAGCGTTGGGCTATGGTCAGTGTTCCTATATAAGAGTTCAGGGTCACCAAGGCAGATTACACTTTGCACTCTTTAAAGTCTCGAGTCGCCCCGTATAAGATTACAACTATTCCCCGTCTTAATTTGACCGCAGCTGTAGTGTCCGCGAAAATAGGTAAAATCCTGAAAGAAAAGCTCCACTCGCCTGATGTGAAGGAATTTTTCTGGACTGACTCCAAGGTAGTCATTGGATAAATCAACAACGAGGCACGACGCTTTCATACATTCATGGCCAGCCATGTACAGATGATGAGGGAGAGTACCGATACAGATCAATGGTTCTATACGTCGAATCTGACTCAAATCCCGCTGACCACGCTTTTAGAGGCTTAACAGCGTCTTCTCTCGGTAAATCTACATGGTAGACCGGTCCCGACTTTCTCTAGGACCTTAACTTTGAGTTCCCTCGAAAACAACTCCTGCATTGTCCGTAGACCCTGAAGTAAAAAAGTCGATGGTTCTAAGTTCTTCTGTAAGACAGTCAAGTAATTTCGACATCTTGTCGAGGCTGTTGAAATTCTCCAGCTGGTCTTTGCTTGTACGAGCTGTTGCAAGACTTCAGAGAAGAGCCAAGAGAACAATTGATGGCCTTGTGACCAGTGTCAAAGAGCAACAGGATGCATCCTCGTTCGTGATCAAGTTAATTCAAGGAAAGGAGTTCAAGGAGAAACCCCCTCTGAGGGATTTGAACCCCTTCATTGATGAGTATTGGATTCCTGCGTGTGGGAGCTCGATTGAGAAACTCATCTCTTCCACCCTCCGTCAAGCATCCAGCAATCCTGCCAAAAGATAGCCACATTCCGAGGCTCATTGTGATTCACAACCACCAGAAGGCCTACCATGAAGGTCGTGGCATAACCCTTTTGGGTCATCAGTGGTGGGAGGTTGGTATCCCCGAAAATCTTGTACTGAGGTATGGCTCGCTTTCGCCCCTTCATCACCAGACATAGGCGAAGAGAGCACAAAAGATACGGGCTGTTGTTCACCGGTCTATGCTCTAGCGTAGTTCGCATAGAGTTATTAGATAATTTACCCGCTGACGCATTCATCATCGGAATGCGATGTTTCATTGCTATCCGAGGGAAGATTCACCAGATTAGGTCTCACCAAGGCAGCAACTTCGTTGGAGTAAAAAAAATAAACTTCATGCAGCCATGAAAGAGGTTAACAGATATTGAAAGTAGCGGCCTATCTGGCTGGTCAAGATTGTGACTTACTCATGAATGTTCCCTGTTCCAGCCACGTTGGAGGAGTATGGGAGCGCCAGATAAGGACAATAAAAAGTATCCTCAGTGGAGTTGTTTCACTTTGTCCGGGAGGTTGAATGATTCATCACTTCGAACACTGATCTACGAAGCGATGACCATAGTAAACAGCCGTGTGTCAGTCGATGCAATCAACGATCCAAAAGTAACGTTTGGAGCCTCTGACACCTAACCACCTCCTTACAGTGTCCCACTACCACCTCCAGGCAAATTCATACCACAAGACATGTACATGTATCTTCAGAAGCGATGGAGACGAGTAAAATACGTCGCCGAACATTCTGGAGCAGATGGCGATTTCGAAAATCTCAATCGAAGGCAGTGCTGAACCAAGCCAAGAAGAAACATCATTGTGGGAGACATAGTCCTGTTATCAGGCACAGACGTTGCTTGAAACAAATATGGGCTTGGTAGTCGACACTACAATCGACAAAGACGATTTCGTAAGGAAAGTCAAGGTTCAAGTTGGAACAAGTAGATTAAGTCAACAAGGGAGGAGCGAGGAAAAGTTCTCCGTGCTCGACCAGTGCGGAAGTTGGTACTTCTGGAGATCGACAGCATCTGATTGCCCCTTCCCCTTTTTCTTGAGCCAATATCCCTCCACAATCAGTTCATAACTTGTTTTTATGGCCATGTAATTTGTAACAGAATTACTCATGATTTATTTTTCTGCTGTTACATTAAGAATGTGATTCACAAATCATTTGAGAAATTGGTGGAAGTGTAAGTGTCGGTCTAGGACGGAAGCGTACTTGTTGCTCGAATAATTAAGTTCACTCAGTTCAGTGTCTACCGCGCGTTCTAAGACATGGCACGTTTGCGCGCGGATGTCAGTGTTCGTTTGATATTCCGTTTGAATTTCACTTCGAGATCGACTTTCGAAGTCTCTAGGCGTGATATGGCCATTTAACATCATGTGGACACACGTGCGTTAGACAGTGATGTAATTCGAGGATTAGGAAAGGGTTCTATACTGGTCAAAGGTGTAAGCGTTTTCACAACAATAAATTACACCGAACATCAGTCGAGACGAAGCGTCATGATTTTTATTGACCAGCCTTTCGCGCGCTTCAGCACGCTAAACTGACATCGTTGGACCGCGGAAAGTGAATGAAAATATTACTTTAATTTAACTTGTTTGAGTATAATATAGGGCTGTAAAAGTAATTCAAGGCTTTGGGGATATTAATCCTTAGCACTATTTAGTAAAATATCGTTTCATAAAAAGAACCCAAACTCCGTTCTTGACAAACGGATAAATTAATCAGGCTGGCACCGTTCCCTCCATTGGTTCATGCTTTATGAATAGTAGCGTAACTTGGAGAGGGGGCATAGATCCCCCCCCACCCTTTGCCTCAGATACCCGGTAATGAGTTGTGTGGACATTGCGTTGGCTATCCCCGTGTTCTCTGTTTTTGCTATTGTTTTAAACTTTTGGTTACGCCATTGTTGATCAGCAGTCGATATACCTCTGGTCCACTTTCGACGATCTTGATTTCTAGACTTATTATAACAGAAAGCTGGTAGGCCGACAGGTAGAGTTTGCTGGAGCACCATGAAGAAGTGCTCTGATTTTGGCCGGCTGGGAAAAATACGCTGTTGTGTTGAAATACTGATTGCACAGTAAAAGTTCGCAGAAACTTAGAACTGGTTTAAATTTCAATTACTTTAATGACGGACTTTGTCCTCAAAGGTTTACATTTATTAACTTCACTGTAGGTCGACAACCATTGATGTTTCACTGCCCCGAACAAAAATTTGAGTTCGCCCGTGATATGCAGGGGGGGGGAGAGGGCACAGCGTTCCTTTGTTATGTACAGTGAGTTGGCGTACATTGGCCACCGTACGTTTTACCAGAAGAACTTCAATTTGGGGAACTTTTTGCAGACATACCAACCTCATGGTTAAAAAAATAATAATTTTGAAAAATCATGGAGGCTACTTCATCCTTTTCAAAACTTTGAAATTTTAGCGGAGGAAACGTCCACATGCATTTAATGCAATAATCAATCGAGTTCGACTAAGCAATAGCGCCTACTTACAGTGCTTACGGCTTCCAGTCAGGGAATGTAACAAAACCCCGGTAAAAACAGTCACCACAAACACCTCAACAAACACCCAACTAAACAAACAACTAAACTCCAAAATTTTGTTTTCGTTATATCTCAAAAGACCAACAGGTGACACTGAAGTATTTAAACAAAAATGGCAATCTTAAATTGTTGTCCAATGTAACATTATCGCCACCGCTTATCAATACTGGGTCTGCAACAGAAAACTTCATTTACAAAATAACGGAAAACGTTTTGGCAATGTTCACGAGATAGTCCATACTTTTCCTTCTGAGTCTTAGTATCTGCCCTAAAAAACACAGTTTGTTTCCTTGGCTTCGAAATGCTACTGTTTAAAAGGTTTGACTATGGGCCGGAGACGGGGGAGTGGTAGCCGCATGCGCACGTGCGCGAGGTAAAAAGATAGTTCGTCACATTAAATACGCGTCACTTCTCACGCACTCATGCGCGTTTCATGCATACGCGTAGGCGTCAGCGTGGTTCCAAATAATGTTCGTGCGTAATGGGACAATTTACGCGCGCCTGGCGTCCCCTCTATCCGGTTCGTAAGTGAATTCGCCACAAAGGAGGACGGGCCACGATCTGCAGGCTCCCATTGGACGATCGCTGAAGTTGCACGTTAACTTCCGGTTCCATGGTTCTACGTAAACGGCAATTAATCAGTGCATGAAATACTGAAAATTCGGTTGTGCATTTATGAAATGAATGCTTCACATGCTGAGAATAGAATATGATTGTTTGAACAATAATTTTTGTTGGATTTTTAACAATAACTTGGTTAGTTACATTTTGGATAGCAAAATGTGTACTGTCCCTTGAAGTCGACTAGCCTTTATTAATTTAGTTTAAACATAAACAAGTTTTTTTTTCATTTTTTGTCTAAAAACAAGTCGAAGGTCAATTTTCATCTCTGTTCAATTTAACTCAATTACCCAAGAAACTTAGTGTCCTCACCAGTTTCAGCATGCTTAATGTGCACTGTAGATTGGTTTGACTAATGGTTTGGTCAAGTTCAGTTCCTGTGTAGAAAATGAAATCCAATTTTTACACTCAAAACATCAGGAGCAAGATTGGTTAACAATTGTGCATAGGCCTATTGGAAAATCCAGATTTGAAGAGGACAGCATACATGTACTTTTAAAACAGGTGCTTGACAACAGCTTGAATGGTAAGATGCAGAACTCAATAAAATACAACAGGGAGTGCAAAACGGTTTGGGTCCGGCAACCATATCTCACGATACCACAAATGTCTAAAAAGAGCTGCACAGATAATCCTCAAATGTACCTCTCCCACCCCCTCAGCAAATATGTTTGCTACACTGAACTGGGTGCCATCTTCCGAGAGAGTTAGATCTAAAAAGACTGTTCTTGTTTTTAAATATCTAAACAAATTAGCTCCTATGTATATGACAAATCTGTTTATCCCACTCACACAAATTCGTGAAACGAGATACTCATTTAACAAGGCACTTAAAGTCCCTTTAGCCAAAAAAGAATGCTACGCTCAAAGTGTCGCGGTGAAAGGTGCAAAAATATGGAACAATTTGCCAGAGCAACTCAGAAGTATAAACTCCTTAGGGACATTCAAATCAGAACTACGGAAGGCCATGCTAGTGTTGTTAAGTCCAAAATGCTGATCTATGGAGTTGTTAACTTGGTTGCCAATGTTCATTGGAGCCGGATCGGGAATTTCCCCATTTCCCGGGAATTACCCTTAGAGTTTTTTGTGCGGGGTATTCGCCCATCCCGTGATCATTGTTTAATACGGGCGTTTCACAACAGTGCACCTCCAAGAGTTTGCAACACGTTGGCCAATCACAATGCGCGAAATTTGTCGACCAAATGCGCGATTGGAAAGGGTCGACAAATTTCGTGCGTTGTGATTGGCCAACGCGTTGCAAACTCTTGGAGGCGCACTATTGTGAATCGCCCGTATTGATGCCTTCACGTGTGTATGATGTTGTAGTAGTCTGTATTTGTAAATATTAATGTTTGTCGTATTTGTCAATTTGACTTTTCATCATGAGTTTCTAACTATTGAATTAATTTATGTTCGCAGGGCCCCAATGGAAACCAGTTTGAAACTGGGCATAGGCCTACCCTGGGTAAAGAAATGGAATAAATAAACCATTGGCAAAATGAAAAGCGCCCTCTTTTGATAGAGGTCATTGTATCCCAATGTAAGAGCGCACGCGCACTCTGCCATTTGGTTGGCTATGGTCATATTTGGTGGGGCCAGAACAGAAGTTTTATGTTGCCTTTCCACTGAAGTGTGATCGAAGAGAAACAAGTTAGCCATGGCGAGTGTTTCGTATCATATCTCCAATCTTTTGGAGAAGGTAAGTTTAGCAAGGTTTTTGACCTCAGTCAAATTAAAGCAACCGTGATGAGCGCCCGTCATGCCCGTGGCGTCGGCGCTACGCTGTGGGCTTGGCAGTTGCACATGTTGTACCTCCGTGAACTGATTCATTGTCGGTGATTGTTCTGAACCCATCGATCCCCCCGACAGAGTTTGACCAGTCTTAGGCATGTTAAAGCACAGTTCCCTGTCTTCGACTATTTGAATTCTCGACACTGACAGTTAATGATTGAAAAAAGGGGCAACATTTACTTCGAGGAAAACTGTGTGAAACTGAAAGTAAAACTTTAGAAAGGGAGTAGGCCTACATGTAGGCCTATTTTCCTGACATGCCTAATCATGGTGCTCAGAGAACATGACTAACAATGACTGGGGGCCTGTAAACCCTGGTCGGCAAGGTCACTATTTTGCCTCCTAGCGTGCAGCCAGGTGTAGTGGTTGGTGTTCATAGTGAACTAATTTCAACATCAGTCTCACCTGGTGACCATAGAATCACAGACTTGAGGTTCAGAACTTGGAAATACAGGCGCGAGATGGTTTTACTTGCATCCCTTTTAGGCCTTGTTACTGGACCATAGCTTTTGGGTAGGCCTACAGCTTATTGAATTTTGTGTAGCAATTAGGAAAAAAGTCTTTAAAAAACAACATAAGAACCAGTCTGAGTTAAAATAAATATTTTAAAGCCACAGTCACAGCAAGCCTAAGTCAGTGCAAAACTGGCATGACTTGGGATACAAGTGATGTGGGCACCACATTAGAGACACACATGCCTGGTGTATTCTGCATTACTCTGTTGTTTTATTGTTGTAACAAGGTGTGGCTAAAGCTGTCTGAATGTTCAGTTGAATTGGTAATGATAAACTTGTGAAGTGCCACAAGTTGTTTGGATGAAATAATGTTCTTGTTTTAGATTTCAAAGTCTTTCAGGAAATAGTAAAGCAGGAAATAGTACAAAAAAAGTTAAATAGATGAAAATAGAAAGAAATTCCTAGTTAAGGGGGACCGGTGTAAAGGAAGGGGCCCTTTCCCATTCAACCGGAAAGAAGCAAACATTCTTTCCTTCCAATTTCCCTCCCTGACTTTTGCCTTTTCTCTTTTTTGTCCATCCTCGGAGATGGCAGTGTTTAAAACCAGAAGATTGCATCATTCTGCCTTTTTAGAGCTGACAGGTTCCTTCACTTTTACCGTATGTTTTTATGCCATGCTCAACTCTTGCTGTACTTCAAACACAAGAAGAACCAAACTTTACCTTGGGGCCAGTTGTTTGTGTATGTTGTTCGGATTGTGTCAACTATTCAATTAAGATAGCCCAGATAGTTTTTGTTTTCCATGGCAGATGACATCTAGTGACAAAGATTTTCGTTTTATGGCCACAAATGACCTGATGTCTGAGCTCCAGAAGGATTCTATCAAGTTGGATGATGATAGCGAAAGAAAGGTGAGACCAACAGCAGTGTTACTGTAGTTTGTGATCTCTGTTATCATATGCAGTTGCATAGCTTGCTTTCTGCGGAAATTCCTTCTACATGTAGTTATATTAACATTTGAATGGTATATATTGTGCATGCATGTACGTGTTAATAGCATCTCAGCATGCAGTTTCTAAACAACATTGTTCCTTATCTTTCTTCTTTTTTTTTTGCTTTTTTGAAGAGCTCTGCTGAGTAAAGATACTATGTGGAATATATACGTTCCTTTTGAGGATGTTGAAACGGACCACTCACTTCTCTATGATTGTATATTATTAACCCTCCTATGCTGAAAACACTCTTTGGGTCATTTGGTAAACACCTCAAAGAAGCACAGCTGTGTTGTGTTGTGCACTGCAC